GGTTCACTAGAAGAATAGGACTTGGTTTTTCTTATTAGTACTGTGAAAGAAGCCTTTAGAGAAAACACTTGTGGCTTTGATTTTGTTGGTTGGTAGCTGTGATTGTAGAGTTGTTATTTAAGAATAAAATCTGTTGGGTATGTCTGGGTGGAGTTTTTTTGCACTTGGTTTCACATGCTTTGCACAATTTCTTTTCCAGTGGGTATGTCACAACTACCAAAGGGTAAAACTGTGGCGTTTTCAATGAAAGTATAATTTCCTTGTAAGTGTGCTTTCTTCAGCTGACTTGACATAAGATGTCACTCCCTCCTCTGTGTCCAAGTTGGGTGATGTTGACAGTGATCATATGCAAATCCTCAGTTCCTCACAGTTTTACTTCAAAATGAAATTGTGGTACACGCTGTAAAATACACCTTGTGGTCTGTTTTTTAGAACTGTATTTATAATGTCTAAATCCCACCTGTTTGCCTATGGACTAGGTATCAGACAGATACTGATCGTTCGATTTTCGAATTCATTTGGAAGACTGTTGACATCGGCTCCTTGAGAATCCGTGTTACCCATTTATTTCACGTATCGCTGAAGGACTTGTAACAGAAGCTGAAATCTGTCAGGTGACAGCATCCATGTTGTAGAAATGTCTAGGTTTACTAAACCCCTTAGGGAAGCTGTGGCGGCGTAAGTAGAGGACGGTCGTGCCAGTGCCGATGACGGCAGACACTGCTACGGCTTCACCTTAAGAATGTTCTCGTGGAAATGGCAATGAAGTGAACAATAACCTACACTTTGTGTTTTCAAAGTAATGATAGCAATATCTTTTGAATGTAGTTTGGAGTAGAGCACATGATCATGCCATAAACTCTGAAGCTATAATAAGTATTACTGTTGTTATCTGATATTTCAGGATAGCGAATTTGACGTGAACTTAGTCTTACAGCCTGTTACTTAATGACCTCTACAAGGAAAACTGACATTTTGTACAAATCAAGTTGATCAGTCTTATTTCGAAGCATTGTTTGTTCTTTGTAATAAAGTGGTTGTCCTATCAAATGCATTATAAACACTCAAGTGTATGTCTGTTTTTTCAGAGGTGGACGTATACAAAACTTCAAATTTCTGCCCTTCTTTAGAAAAGGGGATGATTCAGAGAAGAGAGTGAGTATATTTGTTGGGAGGGGAGGGGTGGACAGGGGAAGGAATGGTGTTTAATGATAAGCATTGTGATACTGAGAATTACTCTTTCATAAAAAGTACTTCCCAAGATACTTTTTTGGTTACCTCATGGGTTTTTTTTCTTATTTGAGGCTCCCCAATTGCCCCCCTCCCCCCCTTCTGCAATTCCTGTGCTCTCACCATCACTCTGCCACCTTCCCTGCCTTTGTGCCGTGCAGCTCACTGGCTGCGGCCTCTGAAATGAAATGTTGAAATTACTTCCCCTGTCTCTACAGCGGTGATGTTGCTGCTGCTCAAAATGAGTGGCAAAGAGCGTGGCATGGCTTTGTTACACAGTTTGTTAGAAGTGTGGGATACAAGTGAGCGCTTCCCATGCTCAGAAGGCTTCTAGGAAGGGTCTGAAGAGTGTGTGTGTCCAACTCTGCTCAAAGGAGTCCTAGGGCAGGTTGCTAAACTTTTATGGCAGTTGACTGTGGGGAACTCCTGGGGAAATAGTTAGCGGTGTCCCTGCTCCTGCAGGGGGGTTGGACTAGATGACCTCTAGGGGTCCCTTCCAACCCAAAACATTCTGTGATTCTGTGAAATAAGTAATGCGCGTTCCGAGGAGCAGGGGAGCAGAGAGGAGAGAGTGAACTTGGAAGGTCTATAGAATAGTTTCTAGACCTCTTTAAGAGACTTCACATAAGAAACTGCTAAAAGCTGTCTGCTCCAAATTTATTCCTGCCTTGTGTTCCTAGCTATTATAATGGAGTAATGGTTGTTGCCTTCTTTTCAGTCAGCTGTGATCCTTGCATTAGTGGAAAACAAATGGGGAAACCTAAACAATCAGTGAAGAATTCCCTCATTGTGCTTTTTTTCTTTCTATTAATAAGATTCTCAGAGTAGGAGTTATTGTCTCTTTAAGGCAGACTTGAATTTGCTGCATGGATTTATCTTAAAAACAACTTGGATTTTTTTTTTTTTCCTTTATAGCGTTAGCTGGTTCCTGGTGTGTTTTTATAACATTTTCCAGCAAGCTGAAGTCCAGGGCTTTCATTCTGTGGCTTCCAGTTCTGACACTGAAGCATTTCCAGATTCCCAAGGCAGGGGTGGAGCATTGACTGCTGGCATTGTGTTAGCAGTTCATGTGTTCCTCCTCCTGTTAGTAGTTACGGAAAAACTTCATTTTGGTGCATTTTCCATTGATCTGAAGCTACTTGGAGATCCCTTTTATTAGAATTTCCAGGAGTTAGTTGAAAATAGCAGGAAGATGAGCTTAAAATGGATCCTCTTGCTCCTCGAATGGGTCTTTAGGATACTGCACCTCCAGTGCTTCCTCCAGAGAGAGGAAATGCCCATGGCGTGCTGGGGGGCAGGAGGGGGTAGGCTGGGCACACAGGTAGGTCCCAGTGTGAATGAACGGCGTTGGGTCTCAGCCAGAGAACTTCTCTCCTGTGCCTGCAGACCCCTGCTGCGGCCTTATGCAAGGCCTGGTTTGGGAAATACCCCTAGGATTAAAAATTGCAAACCAAGTCCAGGCGTGTTGCTGGGCCCTGAGGACAAGTGATCTGGCAGGGTTTGTGAGGCTGAATCCTCCTGTTTTCCCCAAATCAAGTTGAGTCATGGTTGAACCCATGTAGCGATGGTCTCTGGTAAATGCTGGCCCCTGGTCTGGGGGGAGCCCCAGCTGTAGAGAGCACGGGTGCCCAGGGCTGTGGAGCTTGGTGCTGGAGACACAGCCCCTCTGCCCCCTTCTCCCTCGCTGTGCTTGCCCACACAGCCCCCGGTCAAGCGCAACAGCCATCGTTCGGCCGTGCTGCCGGCTGTTGACAGTAGCGGGCATTGCTGTGCAGAGAAAAAGAATGGATCAGGAGATGAGACAGCAGGATGCTGATGTGTTTTAGGCACCCAGTTTAACTTGAAATTACATGAGATGGTCTGAGTTTGCCCTGCTGGGCACATCAGCTCAGCAAAGAGACAGAACCAGTGGAGGGAAAGAAAGGGAGGGGCTGGGCTGCATGGCTGGGAGAGGGGGAAGGAAGAGGAGGGCTGGGATGGGAGGAAGGCCCAACAGATCTCCGTGAGCTATTGGATGTGTTTGTCTAACTCCATCCATATGTGCCTAGCGTTAGGTTGTGAAAAATCTGGCATGGAAAAAGGAGTCAGTAAGTGGCTCCTTGGTCTGTTCCTGAAATCCTTCAAAAGCCTAAAGTACTTCACATTGCTTGTTGAATTTATACCCCTGCCAATAGCAAAAAAAACCACCACCACCCAAAAAAACTGCCAGATTGGGGCTGGGTTTGGTTTGCTGTCATTGTTTTATTGAGGAGGTTCTTGCCTCTCACAAGCATCTGCTTTTAATATATGATATAATTGCTAAGTTGGTGCAGCAGCTCCTTAAAATGAAAATGAAGGCTCAGATATGGTACCTTCAAAGAGAAAAAGAGACGAAACATTTCAGTGCATCCCAAATGGTAAGCAGCGTCCAGAGAGTTATTTCTGCATCTGATGAAATTACAGAATACTGTTACCCACACGTGGAAGTTATCAATATACAATTATTTCCCAGTGAGTCTTAAAAGAGGCACACTGGGTACGCACTGTCTGAGGAGGTTCAAAGCCACCAGTTCCTTGGTTCTGTTTGTGTTCTCTTTTTTTTCGGTTTGCATTCTCTCATTTAGATGTTTTTTTTGCCAAGGCCTCTTAACCACCTTTTAGGATAACCACCTCTCTCTTATCTGCAGTGCTGATAATTCTCCTTTAACAAAAAGTTATTAGGCACAAGTAGTAGCTCGTAACTTTGAGCAGCATTAAGTACCCCAGATTTTTCTTCTTAGTAGCAGCTATGTAATTATTTCTTTATTGCACTTTGCCGGAGTAGGGAGGAGACTTTTATGTGTTGACTTATATGCTGTCTGCTCCACAAGGCAAATGTTTAGAGCCTGGGAGCAACTCTCTGAAATTACTGCCTTGAAAAAGACTTGAAATTTTAATCTATTAGCTTGAGGTTTCACCCACTTACGTTACAGCATAGAAGTTTTAGTATAAATGCAGACTATTTACGCGGTTGTTACTCAAAGATTAGTTACAGAGATCAGTTGCTTGTGCTTGTGCTGCTATTAGAAGGTTAGGAGGGTGACGTTGGTGTAGAATGGTGCTGCTGAGCTATCTGAAGCAAGGTGGGTGCTGTCAAGCCAGACAACACAAAACCGCCAGTTATTGTCCGTACTGCTTTTTCTGCTGGGTGCAGAACTTGCTCTCACTGCATCCGCTCCAGAGATGCTTCAGACGAAGTTTCAGCTGCTTGGCTGGCAAAACATGGCTGTTCCTACTGGTTCTGAATAGAGACTCATCCCCTGAGGGAGCACTCCCCAGGCCCCGCAGTCTCCACATTCCCATCCCAAAGTGATGGAGCCTGTTTCCCTGTAGCAGAAATGCTTTCCAGCTGGCTAGAGGTGAGATTTCAGATCCTTTCCCTTCTCCCCCAGTGCTTTTCCAACCAGCTGGCTCCAGGCAGCTTTGCTGCTCACCAGCTCTCTTCTCCCCATGTGTTAGGTTACACAGGGAACTCTGGCATCTGGGTGGGTTTGGATTTCACAGCTGGGGCAGAGGACTTGGATGCTGCAGAAACAAACCTGTGTGTCCTGGAATCCTGTATCTGCACTACACTCTTCTCGCCAGCCATGGGACATATGCTCTGATGGGGCTGACTATTTGTCTTCACACAGGGTGCGGAGAGGAGTAAAAATAGGATACACTCCTAACTTGCTGTTGCATAAAACGGTGACCATGTTTCAGCTGCAGCTGTATTTCAAGTGACACAGCATTTATATCTGAACTGTGAGTCTTAGGTGTGCTGTTGGAAGTTGCTCCTATTTGCCATCCCTGGTCCTGTGTCCTTTCGAGGGTGGGGGATGCTCTCATCATTGCAGTCACGTCATTTCAGATTCCCTGCCCGCCCTTACTGAATTATTTTGTTGATTTAAAAAAAAAGTCTTCTGTAATCTTGCCTCTCCTGTTTCTGTCATGCTAAAGACGCACCTGAAGCAAATACAGCTAAGAAAGTCATTTTCTGCTGTAGTTGTCACTGGGCAAGCTACGACCAGGGGCTAGGTCCATGCTCTACCCTCAGTTTGGGGAAAGCTGCAGGGCAGGGAACCCCTTTGAGTTGCAACCAACCCTTTTTTGTTTTCATTGTGCACAGAGAAGACACGCAGTGGCAACAGTTTAGGAGCAGGAGGAAAGAGCTCTTAGTCACCGTTACCCCAACAGCAGGGGAGGACTCACGCGGCACTTAGTGATTTCTGGAGAAAAGTGGTCTCTGCCTCTGGACAGGCCCCACAAACCCAGGCTGATTCTGACTGGGAATAAATTGCTGGTAAAGCTTTGTTTGCAGTGCGCTGCCGTTGATAAGCTTTCGGGGGAAGTCAGGACCGAGTCACCTATCACTGCTGTTCGTTAGCCAGAAACCAAACCCTTTCCCACAGCTCTGCCCTAAAAGTCAGCTGCCGACTCTGATGCTGTAGAGGCCAGGCCAGACACATATTAGGCACACGCAGATTAGATTAGCAGCCTGAAGGATGCTCCTCTGCCCAGCAGATCTAAACCCTCAATAGTTTTCTTTCCTACAAAAGCAAAGCAGGTGCCATCTGGCCCCCTGTGCAAGATACTCCAGGAAATGACCCTGGCACTTTGCCCGGGAGATTTCCTAAACCAGAGGAGCCGACTCCCTCGGAGCTGCGGTGCGCTGCCTCGCCTCCCTTGCTGCCACTACAGGCATGCTTGGAGACTGCAATTTAATAAACACGGTGCAGCTGGCACCAATTTGGAAACTATTGTGCACAGGAGCAAACTGCCCTCGCTCCCAAGAGCATTTGGTCACGGATGTCAGCGCACACTGAACTGGCACCGAGTTTCTAGGGAGCTTTCCATTACAGTTTTACATCCTGAGGGTCAGAGGTGATGCTGCAGTCCATTATCATGCCAATTTCACAAATCAATAGGTAAACAGATCAATATTTGTTTGCTTAAGTATAATTGGTTTGGCCTTTTAAAGGGTGGAAGTGTGAATGACTACGCCAGAACAACATCTCCTATTGTCAAAGAGGAGAAATTGGTCTGCCTTTCTAACTAGGTGAATGTAAAAACTGCACCACAGCCAAAAGGCATCCTTCCACCATCGCTCTTTTCACCAAACCAATTTGAAAGAGGAATATAAGAGTAACCATTGTCCACATTATAAATATTTAATCTTCCTCGTATAAGAGGAGAGCCCTATATAAAATTTAGTTTCCCTATAGCATTAGTCATCTTCAGATTTACATAGAGGGCTTTTTTAAAAATCTAAACATGTAAGAAAATTCACTTCCCATTTAAATGAAAAACTTCCTTTCTTCTACTTTACTCGGTGCAAATCAAAACTGAGAGCAGTCTCAGCGTGCACCAGTTGGAAATGCAGTGACTTAAGAGCAAGTTGTCCTACGGCTGTAAATGTAACTGAAGGAGAGAGTCTGTGTGACTGAACTAGAACATTAATCACATTCAAAGCTCTGCAAAACAAAGAATTTTATAGCTAAGCAAGGCTGCTGCCAGCTCCTATCACGAGCACTGGGGAAAATAGCTAGCCCTTGGCTCTCCCCTTTGCTGCGTTGCTTTGCACTGAGGAGCCTTCTGGGTGCCTGCAGTTGCCCGTGGGCTTCCCCCCCTGCCAAAGGCAAGAGAGAAATCACCTATACATGCTTATACCATGTTAATGAGCATCATCTTGAAACTCTGCAGTAGGGACCATCTACTAATCCAATATGATTCACATATATCCAGGGTGGAGTTCAAGGAAGATGGCTATTTAAATCCCAGCCCATTTAATGCTGGCTGATTTTTACCTACAGGCAGATCAGCATGGGTCAGTAGAGATTTAGGATGTACTGCCTCATGTCAAGATTCCCTCTGTGTTCTGGCTACACCACCCAGCCACATATTTTAGTGTTCAGCAGAGATCAGAACAGGGGAATAAATAAAATAGTAGAGATGCATATGTACATCAGCAAGACCGGCAAAGGCAGAGCCTCAGCTCCCATTAAGCCTGTAATGAAAATGGGATGTAGAAGACCGCCATCTAAATTAGGTTTCCCCGTAACTGCATTTTGACTAGAGATAACAGTATTCATGTGCTTTTAAAGACACCACGACACTCTATAAAGAAAGATCAGAAGGACCAAGTCACACAGAAATTAATTTTAAAAAATTAATGTAGTAAAATTTGCTTATGTCATGGCAAGACACCTAGAAAAAGTCACTGCGCTTGGAAAAAGATCTTTGAACATCACTGCTGTTTCAAGTGGCCTTTCTCCACAGCTGTCTCAAGCTCAAGCTCAATTTGGGGTTATGTTAGTTCAAACAAAACATTCAGAGAACCGAAGAGAGCAGTTTTGTAGAAGCAAATGGGATAGAGCAGG